GGATATTAAAATAAAACTCTTAAAAAATATTAATATCTTAAGACCTTTTTTATCGTTAGTAAAACTATTTAAAGAGCTTGAACCGTTTTGGAGATATTTTGCAAAATATCTCCAAAACAGGTTGACAAAATATAATTTTATTCAATTAAAAACCATTATCGAATCCTCATCTATCATCGCACATTTTTCTTTGCGAATTAGTTTAACAATTTTTGAGGTGTTCTTACTTAAATATCCTAGAAATTAGGCATCTAAACCGCTGCGTTTACAGAAAATACTTGTATTACTATCACGTTTCCGCCACAGGTACTTACTTACTACAGGTTTCATTACAAATGTATTAAGATTCCGCAGTAGAACTTATCGATGTAAGATTCTCTTCCAACACGAGGCGTAATTCTGCGCACAATCGCTTCAAATGGGAACTTTTTTTCTCTAACTTACAAAGAACACAGATTTCTGTCACCCACTTCAAATGTCAGGATGATCCTTGAGAATTTATAACATTAGATAATAAAAAAAAATATCTGAGAGTTAATGACAGAATTAAAAACTTAAATTAAAAAATCAGGCCTGTATCAGCATGATTAAAAGATACTTTAAGCTCTTTCTGTATATGTCGAACAAAAACTGTCATTAATCTGAAGGCCGACTGTCTAAGCCCTTTTTTCGTTACAGCCTATTAAAATTTCAGTGCTGGATAGCCTCCCCCATAGGTTTTTTTTAAATCTTTATTTATTATAGAGGGTTAGGGTTAGTTCTACTAGATCAAGTCACCCTCATAGGTACATAATCAAACACATAATCAGACAATGATAAATTCACGTAAACAAAAGACTACCTGTTCTTAATACCTAATAATACAAGTTTATAAAGTTTCCTAGCTTTATCCGACAATGGAAAAGGTAGGATACTATTATATAGTCCAACACTGCTTCGTTCCGTTCACATTCCATCATAATATGAATAACATCTTCCACAACTCCACGTTTGTCACAATTTGGTACATGTCTGCAACGAAGCCTCATTGCTGTAATAATTTCTTGCCTTCCCATATTGCATCCTTTAAACCAAAGGAAGCGGGAAAGATGCGGTTGTATCGTCTTGTACCAAATACCTTTTGACAGTGACCTTTTATCAAAGTATTCGGACCACTTTTTTGTACAGTTTTCACAGTCAAAATTCTCCCCATCACTTATCGCCTCTTTAGCAAGAACGTCTACTGCCTCATTTCCCTCTAAGCTAATATGGGAAGGCACCTATTGTAAGACAATCCTTTTGTTGTTAGATTTTAACGTTACAATATTACTTAATATATCGTAAGCCAATGGAAAACTGCGAGACAATGAAGTACATTTCTTTAAATGTTGAAGGGAACTGCGGGAATTTGTTAATATCAACAATTTACCATACTTAAGTGACTTGACATAAGATAAGGCTTCTGCAATTGCAATGAGTTCAGCATGCATAACTGAAATTTCCTTACCTAAGCAGAGCTTAACATATTCTTTGGTTTTAATATTTAAAAATGCAGCACTCGTTCCTTTTTTATCCTTAGAGCCATCAGTATATACTTTATAATAATTTGTAAAGTTTTCAGCTAAATATTTATGACATACAATTCGATGGTGTTTGTATTTATGTTTAGGCGCATTTACAAATTCTATTTGAGGGATTATTGAATCGGACAAATCCAACTTGCTAATCCACGAATTGAGTGAACCGTGAAAACACTTCTAAGTGAGGACTTGAAAACATATGAGTTTCTTTAAATAATCTATAGATTGTAACTAGCCGTCGGGTTTATCTACGTCGCCAATAAAAGTTTTCTTTAAGTTCATCAAGAATACATAATAAATTTGTCACAATATTTTCATCAATAAAATTACACCTTAACCAAAATTTACCAGCTAAATACCTTCTTCGAGTAAATAATGGCTGTAAAAGCAGTTCCGATTCCATTACATGGATAGGAGCGCTTTTGACAAACCCACCAATTAACGGCTAATTTCATTAGATGTGTTTTATGACTATTGTCAAATAAAAAGCTGGCATAATCTACTTCGTATAATAGCTATATATAAGCGACGTAGCTGAACTGAGTGTACTCCCCAACCAGGTCCTGTTAAAATTTTCAAAATATTTACAAACTTAAGGGCTTTCTCTTTGATTTAATTTATGTGCTTTTTCCATCGAAGAGATCGATCTAACCATAAACCTAAGTATTTAATGCTTTCAAAGACTTTAAGGCTTCTTTTTTTAACCGTTATATTTATGCATACCCTTACGCGTCCATTCTAAAATATGCATACTTTACTTTTCGATGAAGATATTTCTAGGCCTAACGTAAAAAATAAACTAGTAAGAGTATTCAGAGCTAACTGTACATCAATAACTCCGTTATGGATACTGTCGCAATTTTTATATATTAACAAAATCATCCGCATACTGAGAGATATACATATTCTTGACGCTTTTACATACATTAAAAGTAGCTATATTAAACAAAAGAGGAGATAATGGATCTCCTTGGGCTAGACCTTGCCCCGTAAATCTAATGATAAACATGTTATCCACATACATTTTGAGATGTCGTTCATTAAGGAAACTATTAAGATATTGACAAAAAAAATTTCCATTTAGTTGATCTAAGTGTAGAGTAATGCATTTATGTCAACATTATTATACGCATTGTCCTTGTAATCTAAGAAACATCCTATAGTGGACTGATTCTCTGAAAACCCTATTTGTATCGTTAATACTAAACTACTAAGACTATTTCTAAGCAGGATCGGTTTCTCCTAAAACCAAACATATTAGAAGAAAAGACTTTGTTTTTTTTTCCAGAAACCACTCTAGTCTCCCTTTAATAATTGAATGAAAGATTTTGCATAAGCTAGATATAAGTGATATTGTGCGCAAGGACAAAACATTATTAATGTCTCTTCCAGGCTTTGGGATTGCTATAATACTAATATCTCGCCATTGTGATGGTATGAAACTGTTGATAAGAAGAGAATTATATAGCTTGATTAAAATGCATTTCCCGTTAAACGGAAGGTGTTTCAACATTGAATATGCTATGCCATCGCATCCAGAAGATGTATCCTTTAATTTAGTACATGTGTCAAGCTCCTGAATCGAGACCTCTTCCTCTAGTAACATGTTACTAGAACTGGAACTAGCCTGTTCCGGTGAAACAAAATCTGGCGTTAGACTGCGAAGATGTATTTCTGCTTTTTCTTTGTCCATATGGTGGGTATTATGTGACCTAAAACCTTTCATCCATCTCATCTTATTCCACATATCCCTAGTGGTTGTTTTTTTCATTTACTGAATCACAAAACCTCTGACAATTACGTAATTTAGCCTGAAGATTAACCTCTGTGTGTCTCTAATTGTTTCTTGGAGTATAGATAAATTCTGAGGTGTTGAGTTACATCTAACCTAGCCAGTGCTTGTCTACGATTAGCTACCGACTTCGATAATTCTTCGTCCCAGTAAGACTTCGGTACAAATATAGACTCTGGGTTTTGATTTATTTTTAGGGATATGAATTTCAGTTGCTAAATTTAAATATTTCAAAAAATATATTGTAACAGTTTTGAAGGTCGGTTGTGTGTATTGGGAACTGATCAAAAAGTGTTTCAAGAGTTTTTTTACAATCATCCCAGTTTGCTTTTTTAAAATTTCTTTTAAGATCACACTCTAACCGCTTTTGACATAAACGTGATATTTTAATCATAAGATGACCACTACCTAAAGTCTCTCGAAGTACCCTCCAATTAAATTAATGGACGATATCCGACGTCATAAGCGATAGATCGGGAGATGACGCTTGTAAGACTCTATTCACGAATCTAATTCGAGTGCTATCTCAATTATTTAATATAGCAAAGTTAGTGTCTAAAAGCGCGTCAAATATTTCTGAACCCCTGTTATCAGTCTTATACGACAAGCTTGAGTGGTGAGCGTTGAAGTCTCCAATGATTACGGTTTTACAACTAAATGTAGAAAATAATTCATCCCAATTTCTTTGGCAAGTGCGCACTGACGATGGACAATAGATATAAATGATATTCTCTAAATCCTGACAGTTAAAATATTTATATGAATAACTTCTATGCCATCATTACTTAGTTGTAAATGCCCCCTAACTGTTTTAAGAGATTTGTGCGCTAAAACAGCAACACCTCCATAAGAGTCAGCTCTATCATTACGCTAAACATTATAATCTTTGATTTTTATATAAGTTTCAGAGTTTAACCAAGTTTCGCTTAAGGCTACGATATGTATTTTTTCCAGAGTTAATAAAGGCTCTAAGGACATCAGTTTAGGCTTAACACTTTGAGCATTCCACTGTAAGATATTAAGATTTACTATTTTACAGTTAAGGTATTTATCCATTAAATAAGTTTAAAACAGTTTTCAACATTGGCCATTCCGAGATATTGTACACAGTTACCAAAATTAACCACTCAACACATAACTTTATCACTTTGTAAACATTCTCTTGCAAACTAAAATTATTAAAAAATATTACTTCCTTTAACCTCATAAGTAGCTCACTGAAAGATATTTTATTAGAAGATTCGTTGTTATTTGCCTCACTATAGCTAGTACTAGGTTCAAATCTATTACTTTGTAATGACGTGTCACGCTCTGTACTTCTTTTCTCCTTTTTTATTTGGCGCCGGCGGGGCGACGATACCTTTATACCTACCTGCTTTCACATTGGCTAATATTGTCTTCGTTATGCAATATGCTATTGGCCGTCACTTCTGCAAAAGTAGGAACATTTTGGACTTTAGCCGCTTCCCTCTCCGGTGTGTTATAATTACACTCCTGCTGGATGTTATCTTGTTCAATAAATTTTAGGTCCATTTGTCTATGTGGTGTTGGCGCAACATAGATTGTTAATGTCCTTCTGTGTGTGCAGTTAAACTCGGCCATAAGACCTCGCAACCTTCTTTCTTTAAGGTAAGCAGGGCAATTACTAGCTAAAGCCATGTGACTTCCAGAACAATTGACACATTTGAATGTTTAGTGTCACAATTCTCGTGTTCTCCCCCACATTTCGGGCATATTGTTTTCTTAAATGGATATAACTTTCGAATGTGACCCAACCTCCAACATTGTGAGTATTGTGAAACGGGATAAACATATGGCTGAACAGTTATTTTCATATTCAAAATATATACGTATGAAGGTAGAGAGGACCCTTTAAAACAAAGCCGCATGGTTACACTTGCACACCACCCTTCTTGTTTCGTGTAACTTCGTCGCTTAAGCCTTTTAACGGATATTAATTCTATAGAATCTGGGCATGATATATTTCTCATAATTTCTTCTTCAGACATTTCTAACTCCACGACTCCTATAATTCCGTAAGAGTAGTTAACCTCCATAGCCTTTTGAATTCTCCATCCCATAGAAATGAATGTCACACAGGCACTTAATTTTTGAACATTTTCGTCATTCGAAAATTGCAACCTTACTTTAAATGGGTTTAAGTATTTCACTCTAATTATATCAGTAATTCCATTTTCGTTGAATAACCATGCCAAAGCAAATTGCTTGGGCAGCTTTTCACTGCATGCAACGTATACCTCGATATCTGTTTTTGTACTTAAGTTCTTATCCTCGTGCAGTCGTTTTTTCTTCCTCTTTCCCTTCACAATCCTCCACTCCTCATCACCCTCCTCCGTTTTTCTGATTCTTTTAATAATTCTAAGCGTATTTTTACCAATACTATCCCGCTCTTCTACTTCTAATCCTGCAATATCGTATTCGCTATACATAATATTATTGTTAAATTCTTCATTCTCGTCCGTCATTTTGCGTATACCCGCAAATACCACTGAGTAAGTAAGCTTGCACGTAAGCAGCAAGCAGCGTACGTAAACACTTAGCGATGTGCGTGAACGCGTGCTACTCGTTTAACGTCAGACGTGAGACTGCCCCCATAGGTTGCCTCATAGGTGGGATATGTGCCATAGTTGCCATTTTTATGTGACTTTTTTTTCTGTGGCTGGTGGGTTGGCAACCGCATTTTTTTTTCTTTTATTGTTATTAGGATGATGCTGATGCCCATTCACTGATTGCTTTTCTTCTGTCACCCTTCCCCACTTCTTTTACGACACCCACGGGATTATTATCTGGGGTAGTGTAATATGATGGGGTAGTGGATTTACTTACGCCGCCACTTCACGGTCAACACCGTTGTTGAATAACCTACCTTTTTATTTCATGATTTTTTTAAATGTAATTCAGATAAAAACATAAAAATAATTTGTTTTATATTTCTACATCTATTGATTTTACATATGATTATACGAGGATCGTTTATTTCGTTATGTACGTAAAAAGTTAGACAATAAAACATTACGAGAAATATTTATTTTTCTACTTGCCCGGACTTCTAATTTCAGGGAAAGAATAGAATAATGTGGATATTAGATACCCGCAGGGAACGAATTTGGAAAAGCTTTTAGCGTCGAGTAACTCAAGAGGAATTTTAACCGTAGGAATACTCTTTTTGTACTTATAAACTCGTTTACTCAGTCTTGATAAATGAGTTGAAATGTATATTTTCAAGTATTCGCGCATATCTTTGCCTTATATTTTTAATTACAATGAATTAATTGTTTTAGAGGAAAAAAATAAACGCTGTCAAAGATTTAAGCACTGCGAAAAAATTTTGTTTTCTTAAAACTTGATGATAAAGTTAATTCACTTTCGTGATAGTTATATAATTTATTAATATAATAACATTTTACCCATAATTAAAGAAAATGCATCGGCCCACATAATTTATGAAGGTTATATAAACAGGTTGTACACCATTTTTTCAGGTGTAAAACCATTTTGCAGGTATATTATAGTTGCACCATGAATGGTTCGACCGGGGTAGGACCACGTTCTCACAGAATACAAGCGTAAAATAGCAGCTTCAAGCTATTGTTTTACGTATGGTTAGTGTGAAGAAACGGATACCCCTTTCACTGGAAACAAATCATTCCATCCTTTTTATTAGGGTGACAACTTTAATCGAGGATAGATGTAGATGTGTGTGGATCACAGCAACCACTTACCCTCAGGTGGATTATGTGCTCGTTTGTCACCCTATCCTATAAAAAAATAGATGTAGATGTCTATGGGCCACAACATCCTCTTAGCATTAGGTGGACTGTGTGCTCGTTTATTACTCTTAACTTTGAGAAAAACAGACCGTTCTTAAGAAGATCTTTTTATTCACCAAAAAAAAAAAACATTGAATATCAGTTAGTATTCCCCACGCTAACAGCGCAAAGGTCACCGAAAATTACCCCCTATGCTGAAATTCTTACCTCCTCTTCGCATTATACGTGAAATAGCAGAAAATTTAATCGGTCGTAGATTCGATTTCTTCTCCTTCTTCTTCAAAAGCCCGTAAAAATGCAGGATAAAGTGCTCAAAGTCACATTTCAGTACATTTTTTTTCATATTTTTTGCTGTCTTTTTTATGATTTATTACGATAAGTCCTAAGTTTTGTTTATGTGTAGAATATAACTTTTTTGTATGTTGGTTTGCTGAAAACTATTAATTATTTATATGTGTTGAGCTAATGACCGACCTTATCGTCTGCTTCATTTATGTATTATACCGGCGGATAGTAATTATGAGATTCTACTACCCCGTATAATCCCGAGGGTGATGTAAAAGACGACAGAGGGAAGTAAAACAAAAGATGGGTAGCAATATCATCCCTAAAATTACACAAAATAATAAAACAGGTTCTTGACAATTCGCCTGCCATGTGTGGTAATTATGGAAAAATTCCCGCTATGGCACGAGCAGTGGGTGTTGATAAGCTGCAATGAATGGTGACTGAATGAAAATCTATTTAAGGAACTTTGTTTGAACATTATGAGTGTTTATGTTTTAACCTATATTAAAGTTAAAGTCAAAATGTCTACATGACTTTAGATTTAAAAATTAAAGACTGCCATGATTTTATGAATTTGTTATTATGTAAAATATATTTCTTTACGGCATATAGTTTAAATAATATGGTTGATTATTTTATGCATTTAAAGTATTAATTTAACGTGGCAAATATTTTTAATCATTATTTATATTAAAAAAAGAAATAGAAAAAAAAAGAAATAAAGAAATAGCATCTACCATATTATCATCTATGGGCCGGGGCTCCCTGGTGCCAGCTCCTTCCATTTGATTGCACCCAGCGCAGAGTGGTTCCAGACTGAGCTCCTTCTGATCGGCTTAACTCACTTGCACTGCGATGAGATATTGTATCACTTTGCGTGTTTTATCGCATTTACCACAGGAGTTCCTTTAGGAATTGTTCAGACTAATTCGAGCCGCTCAATTTCATCATCGCACATCGCGGCAAATCTTGCCATGCCATCCATACCATCTAGATGATTGGCGGTCTACCACTGTGCGATTTACAAGAAGTTTTCTTCCTCGCATAACTTCCTTGTGGAGTTGACTACCACCAGCAATTTTGCGGACCAATACGACTTAGGGACCTTCAAGAAAAGAGCCTACTCTTTTTAAAATTTTGCCCTCACTCCTATAAAAAAGCCCGAATCATTACTTTAAAAATAAAGTTACAGCCTAAATACAACCCTGACTTTACTGATCACTTAATATAAATATAACATAAACATGCGTGCAAGTTTAAATTTTGGATCAATACGGGGTGTTTCCTTTAACGATTCACCCAACGCCAAAGTTCATAAATAAAATTATTCACCCTTTACTGAACGCAGCCTAACTTTATGTACGTTAAAATTTGTGGGGAAAACATTTTGGAGCTCAACAATTTTAGTAGGTACTTCGAAGGCGAGTCCTTATTTCGGTATATTTATATAAACGTAAAAGTTATACGCTGAGGAATCTAATCTAAGGAATCTATTATTCTTCTGGTCCCGTCAGTACAGTAAATCATCGTAAATACAGGAGTGTCCCTGTTAAATTATACACAATCTATTAGTTAATGTGTAGTAGTGGTAATAAGAATATCCACTACCCAATAATATGGTCTCATAGGTGATAGAAGAAAACTAAAACTGAAGGTGAGCAGCAGGATGCTCCTTATAACATCTCGAAATAAAATAAAAACATCCAATCGCCAAATCGTTTCTCAAGCATGTCAACTATGACACAATCCTACGTATGAGTCAAGGAGAGGCCTATATCAGCAGTGGACTTTTGTAGGCTTAATTGATGGAAGATACATTAAAATAGTAATTCAGTAAATAAGCTCTTGCCTTATTATTTCAGATTACACGAGCGAACTTTATACGTGGTATTGATATAGTGTCACACTGCAGCTATGTCATCTCTGAACTTCACGCGTCCCTGCATTATTTATAAGGCCTTCATTGCGAGAATATTTACATTATTGCGATGTGTGTGGTCTGGGTCGATGGGTCTGGGTTGGTCTGGGGATTCTCACAATATTTTACTCTACAAGCACGTGGTAAATTTGCGATTTGATTGGTGCGAGCAGTTCTCGAAATCAATTTGTTTGTGTATTTCGAATCTATTGTCACGATATTTACCTCTAAAGTCGAACATGCGGTAAATTAACAATTTGATTGGTGTTCGATAAGCTTGAAAGCGTACTTCAAAGTGTAACAAACCCTTATTTCCTTAGCTACCACTCATAAATGTGTTACGATCATTATATTAATACGAGATCATTTTCAGCAGTAAAGAAGAAGAATGTAACATAACGTATTGTATCATGAATGTGCACAAAATAAATCTATATATATTGCAGTAAAGGCAATTTTTTATAGAATAAGGGTGCTATACAAATATATATTCACTTGATGGCAAGTGAATGCTGCGGTTCGTAGACATCTACGAGTACATATATCCTTGATTAAGAATCCAAATGCAGAAATATTCGTGAGAATGATCCTTGGTGTAGACCCTGTTCATGTTTTATCTTCATAACACATTGTTTTTCTTTTTTTTTAAACAAAATGTTTCAACCAATTAAGTGAGAGAATTTTTATTACGTTCATGGTTGTATGACTTAAGATGCCTTTGCCTTTCCTGCTTGGGAAAAAACGCAAACACTTAGCGTTTATTCGGTTATACTAGATTAATTAAAGTAATATACAAGTATTTCATATTTCGGTTTTATAATATACTTTTGAAATCGATACCTAATGTATTATGCAAATTTATGTAAAGGTATTATAGACACTAATAGGTGTCATGTTCTCGAGAGTGCAGTTAGTCGGTACAATGATCAAAGGCATCCAAATTACTTGTATCTAGTGGCAAATCAAATGTATGTAACTGCCCTTGCCTATTTTCTAATACTGTTATAGTTTAATGCGCTAAACTACGCAGGTATACTAGAAGATTTTATTTATTCTCTATTGAACCTTACACGGTAGTCAGAAAAAGGCGTACTTTATGCTGAAAGCATAAAGTACACCGTTAGTCAACATTAAGAATGAAATGTCGAAGGTGATTTCAAAAAATTAAAACAAAAAAATGAAATTTAAGACAAACTGATATATGATATATAATAGCCCACGGACGAGTAAAAAGTAAGGACTCCGCGTCACCGACATAAAAAATTAAGCACCCCGAAACGAGCTAGCTACGTGTAAATACGAAACTACTTACTACACACACACTGACACAAAGATAAACCAATCGATACGTTCGCGTATCAAAAATTTAAATAATGCTGTTGTGTGTCGTTAAATGGTGCAAAAATAATACCACATTACAAAAAAGTGCCAAGGGATTACCTTTCACCGGTAAGACAGTTCTTATTACATTATTTATTATTACGCACAC